GAAAAGAAAGAAAGAAAAGCCATTTAAAAAAACCCCCCAAACGAACCAAACCAAAAACCGTGTTCCACTGAAAATGGAAAATGACTTTCTCCGGTTAGCATGAAACTCCGCGGGGCTTTGAAGCCCTCTCGGCCCGCCAGGGTAAGCAAGTGCGTTGCAGACAGAGCCCTGCCCTGGAACATGCTGCTGCTACTGCTGCCATAAGCCCGCGCGAGCAGGAGTCTGCTGCGGTTCCATACCTGTTAAGCGCGGCGGCTTCGGAGAAGAGCAGCAGAGCACTTCCTTCTGCCGATAAGATCTTCGCCCTCATTCGTCACAGCTGGCGGCGGCTGCCGCTGCACCGCTCGCAACTGCTTCTCTAGCGAAGCCGCTTAGGGGGTGGAAACAGAGCGAGTGGGGAGGAGGGAGCGATGCAATGCCCAGGGCTGCTCCCCAGAAACCTCGCTGCTCCTGGTGATCCCGTTCGCCATGTGATCCCGGCAGAGCTGAGGCTGGCTCCGAAATGGGAACCTTAGGGAAGAGGAAGGAGAACCCGTAAGCTTGCCGTGACTTTGCTTCGTGATCCCTCTCCAGGCGGGAGCTCCCTGGCGGCGCGAGGGGGTGCAGAGACGGCAGATGCAGGCGGGAGGGAATGCAGGGCAAATGGATGGGCCGGGGCTGTTCCCGGGACCCCTCTCCCTCCCACACGCGCGCTGTCCTCGCACTGAACGGCAGAGTTAGCGGCCCCTGTGCCTTGGGCGCCCAGACCCACTCCTGGTTCTGGAGAGCCCGCGCTGGGCTCGGGCCTGGGTGGCTTGGCCAGAGCTGCCTTGCTGCCGCGCTTGCAGGGAGGGTGGGATGAAGTGACCTGCAAGGGAAAGCAGTGCCCTGAAGATTGAAATCCAGGCTGCTGCATTAGCGTGTCTAAAGCCCATCGCTTTCCTACCCAATTACTCCGGGGGAAAGAGGGGAGGGAAATAGGATCTTTTTACCACCACATTTCCCCATCTTGATTGTAACTTTCCCAGATGGAACTGGGCTTTTGTCTTGCTTTGAAAAGCGGGGTGGACTGAGAATACCTGAAAGTTTTAATAAATGGGGTGTCCTAGCAGGAATGCTGCTGGAGTGATCTTGCCTCCCCTGTGGTTGCTGTTGCAGGAATGTCAGAGCCTGTGGCATTTCTTATTCTATCTAAAAAAATCTAGTCACCTGTCCCTTTGGGGTAACGTGCTTTAGTCTATAGTGCAGTGTGTGAGAAGTCATCACTTTGGTGCTAGTCCTCTCACATGGGAACACCGCCTAGTGCTGGGTGCTAGCCCACAAGCTGACATTCATTACTTTGTGATTTCTTTTTCCCTTCAAAAGTTTGCAATGGAAATCCAGGGTGGAAAAAAAAGAAGTCTGTTCACTTCCACTCCCCTTACACGCTGACTAACTGCTGTAAGTGGAGATATTTTTAATTGATTAATTCAGCTAATGTAATTGATTAGTTACCCTCTGTACCCTGCAGAAAGTGCCATGCTGTAAGCTCTGTGGGGTGGGGACTGTCGTTATTTTGTGCACTGTTCAGTTCTGAGTGCGGTCTTAGCACCAGCCAAAATAATACACCTGCTGCATGTAATTTTTGTTTCACTGCCTCTATAATACTGTAGCAGCCTGGCTTGAACGGGAGTTGGAAGGGAATCGACAAAGGGCACCTTGTAAGCTGATGGGTCCCTTCCAGTTACCTAGACCCATAAAATGAGACCAGGAGGTCACACAATAAAGCTAAGGGAAGGCACATTTAGACAAAATAGGAGACAAGCTGATACAGGCTGTGTGAAGAATTCTAACTTCAACAGGAATGGATGGGGGTGTTTAGCATCTGCTCTATCAGCAGCACCATCATACACTAGCTTTGTATTTCTAGTGATTTGGCTTCAAGCGTGGTCATACATGACATGTGAAATGAATGTCATGAACTACACAGCACTCTAATGGCAGAGAAATTGCAGATAAGGATTGAGAGTCGTTGCTGGAGCTATGGCATAGGGGCACTATTCTCTTCGTTAGGCATGCATAACTCCCCTTGGAGTACAGACCTGGAGTCAGGAAGGCCTGAATTCTACTTTCAGCTCTAACACTAAAATCACTCCCCCTGTAGCTTGTCTTCCTTATCAGTAATATACAGAGAGTGGGTTTACACCAGAAACAATTTAACTCTAAAAACCTACCTTACAGGGCCTTTGCTAGATTTCATTAATTAATATCTTAAGTGCTTTGGTTATGAAAAACTGTATTGAATAAGTATTTTATATTTGCACCTGAACCTACGGGGGTTAAAATATGAGTTTCACTGCAGGGTTCGAACTGTGCATGAAGGAGATCTGCACTGCTGCTTACTGTACCAAGTTTTGTTCCAGGCAATGCCATCTGTGTGTTACTTCCACCATCAGTAAAATTCACCCCACATATGATTTTTAACATTCTCTCTTAGAAGATGTTTCAGTGGGGTGCAATTTACATTCCTTGAAACAGCTAACCATTTTATTGAACGGAGCGGTGATCACTGACCGGGAAATATCAGGCCATATTTTCAAAGGCATTTCAAAATGGTGCCTGCAGCTTTGCAAATGCAAATTTGAGCACACATTTTATCTATGATTTTTTGTGCCTTCTCAATCTCTTATGTTTACATGAAAATTGTAATTTGTATGTACAAATAAAGTAAACTCAAATGTTATTTGTAAACACAGAAGCTTTTTGTACTTACAAAGCCTTCTGGTGTGAAAAATACACATCTAAAAATAGGCACTTACAGAATTATGGGTGCAGTTTTAGTGGCCACCTTGGAAAAGTCTGACCAATAAGGTTGTTAATACAGTCATTAGTAACTTAGCAAGAAAAATTCAGTATAAGTGGACATTTACAGGAGCAGTTAAGAGGAGAAACAAAACATGTAACTATAAAATATTCCACTGTAAAATCATGCTGATATTTCAGGCATGAGCTCTTATCATTATTTCTTAAGGGTTTTTTTTTTGTTTTTTTGTTTTTTTAATGTCTTCCAGAATTGTTCAGGGTTTGACTACGGGCTTAAATCCATTCACTTTCATCATAGTGCCCAAATATAAATATCCATAGGCTGACTGGTCATTACTGGGACATTTTCCTAGTGTTATAATGTACATTGTTTGATTTTAGATGAAATGCCTGTTGCTTTGCTTGGGAATTATGTTTACATTAAGATTGAAATATATAGATTTAAAAAATGAAGAGCTCTATAACCATGCTCTAAAGAGCCATATTTTCGGGGCTAAATAAATTTGATAAGGAGAGGTTTCTTTGGTGCATTTGCCAAGTGGGAGGGTTATGTTTTTCACCAACCCAACTCCGGGGAGCTAATTGCCTTTTAAATCTCTCCTCCTTTTCCAACCCGCAGTGGAGGCTTGTGTGAAATTTGCCACTGCCTTGCTCTCATTGTACTCACTTGACTGTTGTCCTTTCCTTTAGGAAACCTGCACAAAGATGCAGCACTGCCCCTAAAACAGCACTTGAACTGAAGCAGATCAGTCGTTGTGCCTCCCATTCAAATCCTACCCAGATTACTGAGTTCAGAATAATGATGCCTTTGGGACACTTAGCCAAAGGCGCCAGCCTGGAGAACCTCATTGAAACCTGCCTTCAGTCTTTTGGTGAGTGTCCTGATTTGAAACAATCGTGTGTAAATGTTTTCAGACCTTTGTACAGTAGCAGTTTAGGTAACCTGTGAAACGTTAAGATATAGTCAAGCATTTATATATATAAATTAGGAATCTATAAATTTGTGTAATATATGATGAGAGTTTAGAATGATAACATTCTTTTCTGGGAAGGCACTCCTAATCAGTACAGTAAAGTTACCAGGCATTTGAAGTGAAGTGATTTTCATTTTATTTTTTGTTACTCCATGCACAGAACGGAAAAATTCTTTGCACATGGATGGATGTTTAACAAGTAAACGTTGGAAAATGGAGAGTGCAATATTCTCAAACTGTGTAAATGTGTTTATATTGTCTAGTGAGAAATTAGAAGAGTTGTTTTGTGGACTAGGTGCAGTAAAGTAGGAATGCTTGTTACTTAATCAGAAGAGATACTTACAAAAATCAGCTCTTAAGGAGAAAAGATTCAAGTGAAAAGCCCAATCATATACTTTTTGGCTTATAAATTATTCATGATTTTTTACTTTCACCAGCAAAATATCTACATTGAAGAGCACCATTTGAGATGTTTAACTTATGCAAAAAACAAAAAAGATGCTTTCTATTTTCATTAGCAAACACTATTTTTGATATTTTATGGAATCAAATGGAGGGCTTCAAAGCCTTTATAAAGAATAAAGATAGAAATCTAAGTATTTTCAAATCATTTATTTTTTAAATGATGTATTTCTTTGACTATAGAGTACCATTTTCTTTTTTTACTGCCAATATGATAGTCTTCCATGCTATGTGCTGGATATTTCAGTCCCTAGCAGCAGCTTGTGGCATCCCAAATAAATTTGTGTTTATTTGTAGAGTTCACCTTTTTATAGCTGTAAACCAACATGAAAACTGCAGATTTTTCAAATGGAGATTAAGCTGAGTATGACACCGATTTTTCTAAATGTCCAACAAACTACTTGTTGTCAATTGCAAAAAATAGGCAGAGCAGTGGAAGTTGTATTTGTACATACAGTACACATAGGGTGAGTTGCAGTTCGATGAGCTTCTTTTCAGTGAAGGATTTATATAAATTAAATAAGACTTAGTATTGATATGGTGCTTTACCTCTTCAAAGCACTCTACAAACCATGACTAATCCTTGCAACACCCCAGTGAGGAAAGCATGGATTGTTACTTACTGATGATAAAGAATTTGCAAGGGAAGACATACACATCTGCAGAAGAAGAGAACCAACAATCCTTTTCTCCTCCATCCAGTTTTATTGAATTTTACTACGTAAGAAAATCCATTAAACCACTAAAAAGCCCTCACTCTTACACAAATGTTAGTAGTTTGGGGTTTTTTTGCATCTCTCTTCAGACAAAATGAGCCAAACTAAGTGCTAAAGTAAGCCTATATACACGTATTGTATTTGGTTAATGAACTAAAACAATCTTCTCAATTTGTACCTGTATTTTTATAGAAGAAAAAGGATTATGCATTTTATATTAAAAGCTAGCAGAATGGTTGCAGTGACTTATTTCAAATAATGTAGGTGAAATCCTGACCCCACTGACATCAATGTGGTGTTTGCCATGGACTTCAATGAGGCCAGGATTTCATCCAATATTCTTATTTGTTTTAGTCAATATACATATTTTGTGTCAATTATATTGTAATCCTTCTAAATGAATAATAATGCATATGTAACCATAACATTTATGGAAGAGCTTGTTTGAGAGAACTGTGTTGTACTGTAGATATCCACATATTCTTATATAAGCCAAAGGCATTTCACAGTCTCTTCCATTCAGTGAGCTTATACAAATAGTCTTCCTATATAGCTTGTGTTTTGTTCTCCTTGAAACTGTGCAAATTCTTAAAATATCTTGGGACTTCACAGTAGAGTATTTAAATAAAGCATGAAATGAGGCTGGTACAACTACATAAAGACATTGCTTACAGCGGGTTCTTTCGGGGGTTAACTACAAACATTTTGCAAACAACCTTCCCTGGAGTCTGTTTCAGGAGAGGGGATGGGGAGACAAAATTTTGCTCTGTGATCGGGTAAAAAAAGTGTTAGATGCTGAATCAGTACAAATCAATCAACAGACTGAGTGAGTCCACTTTATGCCTGAAATTGCAGTGCATGCTACCCAGTTACCATGGACAGTCACAATTCTATTTCAGACTGAATTTTTCTTCCTTCTGCATCTCAGAAAATCACTCTAGAAAACACTCTGATTTGCAAGGTTTTATAGATAATCACCCCTGATAAATCCAGTGCTGGAAACTGTGCAGTGTTTTACTTTAATGTTAGATATACATTTTATTAAATTAGTATTTGAAGCACAGTAGGGAAACTAATGCTTAGGGTTACTTGCTGAAAAAGAGTTCTCTGCTATGAAAATTCAGTATATAATAGCCCCAAAAGAAGGCACACAACATACTTTAAAATGCGCATTGTACATTATGCTATTCCATTAATATTTGCAATAGCACTTAGAGGTCCCAGTCAGGGATCACATCCCCATTGTGGTGGGTACTGCACACAGACAAAAACTGTTTGAAAACTGATGTATGTCTAATGCGCGATAAAGGCTGGCAGCACTAGTGGAGTGTAGGTGGAAGCTGACAGCCCTATTCCATATCAGAGATGATAATTAGCATGGGGCCAAGTCAAGGAGTCTTAAAAATGAAGACAAGTAGTTTGCACTTGTTTTGTGTCATGCAGTGGAAAAGGGGAAACCAGTGAAGGGATGCAATGATCGAGGAAGATGTGTGGTTTTGTGTGTGTGTGTGTTTTGTTGTGTGTGTGTGTGTGTGTGTGTGTGTTTTTGTTTGTTTGTTTGTTTGTTTTTGCAGCAGTGTGGTGAATGGATGTAAGAAGGGGTGGGGGCAAGATGACCTTTGTCAAGAACAGACAGGAGCAAGTTGGAGTGACAAGATGTGAGATAAAGAGGACCTGTATCAAGGTTTAGCAGTGTGAACAGAGAGGAAAGGACAGCTCTAGGAGATGTGTGTGAAGGAAAAAGCAAGATTTAGGCAGTGCCTGGAAGTGTGGGTTCAGAGAGGGGGCTGGGTCAAAGACGATGGGCCTCAATGTTAGGAAGGATGTTAGTGTTGTACATAGTGACAATGAAAGTTGGGAGGGCTTTAGGGGAAAGATCAAGAACTCAGTTTTGGCTATGTTGAGCTTAAACTGATAGCTAAATATCCACAAGGAGTTTTCAGAAAGACAGTTTTGAATTTTAGTTTGGAAGGAATGAGGGAGGTCTGGAGTGGAAAGGTAGATCTGAGGGTCTGTCTACACTGCAATGTAAGCTCAAAGTTAGTAGAACTCAAGTTAATATATCCAGGGTCTGCTAACCAAGGGCTTGAGCGTCTAGACTCATTTGTAACCCAGGTTAGGAATTTCTGAACCCTGGGTCTGAACCTGAGACCCCAGCATCTATAGGGAATTACGTGGGCCTTAGTCCAACCACCCATATCCCAGACTTCCTAGAGGCCTTCCAAAATGTAGCTGCTTTAGCCCTTTGTTCAGATGCAGCATGAGAAAAAAACTTGACTGTCCTATCTCTGAGAACTGGAAGGGACCTTGAAAGGTCATCAAGTCCAGCCTTCACTAACAGGACCAAGTACTGATTTTGCCCCAGATCCCTAAGTGGCCCCCTCAAGGATTGAACTCACAACCCTGGGTTTAGCAGGCCAATGCTCAAACCACTGAGCTATCCCCTGGGGAGTTTTTGGACAAAAACTCAGCCCATGGCATTGTGGAATGCTTTCGGTAGACTCCTTGACCATGAGTCCTACGAGGCTGTGTCTACACTGCAAACCAATAGGGCTTGATCCCTGTGTCCCAGTTTGACTCAGGCTTGGACATGCCACCTCTGCGTGGTCCTGAGACCCTGGATCTGAGTTCTGAGTTAGTGTGATTTGTGTAAAGGTGGGTGGTTAGGTTGAGCCTGAGTTTGAACTTTGGGCTTATATTGCAGGATAGACATATCCTGAGTCATCCATGTAAAGATGATACTTGAAACCATATTACTGAATGAGATCTCCAGAGATAGGGAGAAGAGGAAAGGGGCCAAGAATGGAGCTCTGTAGAAACCACCATGAGGGCTGGAGTGAGGATGAATGGGATCCATCTTGCGAATGAAACACTGAGAGCAACTAGAGAGATAGGAGGAGAACCAGGAAAGGAGTGGGAGGACAAGCTATTAAGAACATGTTTCAGAGTCGCAGCCGTGTTAGTCTGTATCCGCAAAAAGAACAGGAGTACTTGTGGCACCTTAGAGACTAACAAATTTATTTGAGCATAAGCTTTGTGAGCTACAGCCGACTTCATCGGATGCATAGAATGGAACACATAGTGAGGAGATATATATACATACAGAGAACATGAAAAGGTGGGAGTTCCCCTACCAACTCTAAGAGGCTAATTAATTAAGATGAGCTATTGTCAGCAGGAGAAAAAAAACTTTTGTAGTGATAATCAAGACAGCCCATTTAAGACAGTTTGACAAGAAGGTGTGAGGCTACTTAACATGGGGAAATAGATTCAGTGTGTGTAATGGCTCAGCCATTCCCAGTCTCTATTTAAGCCTAAATTGATAATATCTAGTTTGCATATTAATTCAAGTTCAGCAGTTTCTCGTTGGATTCTGTTTTTCAAGCTTTTCTGTTCCAAAATTGCCACCTTTTAAATCTGTTACTGAGTGGCCAGAGAGGTTGAAATGTTCTCCTACTGGTTTTTGAATGTTATGATTCCTGATGTCAGATTTGTGTCCATTTATTCTTTTGCATAGAGACTGTCCGGTTTGGCCAATGTACATGGCAGAGGGGCATTGCTGGCACATCATGGCATATATCACATTGGTAGATGTGCAGGTGAACAAGCCCCTGATGGCATGGCTGATGTGATTAGGTCCTGTGATGGTGTCACTTGAATAGATATGTGGACAGAGTTGTCATCGGGCTTTGTTGCAAGGATAGGTTCCTGGGTTAGTGT